GCATCTTATGAAAAATTATGCATGGATTTCAAAATGTTGTGCCCCAAAGTAAATGTATCTTTTAATTCTGTTTTTCACAAGCCTTTTGCAAAGAGCCCTCATATATTTTATTTTGATATCTGCTATGGTTTGAATGCTGAATGCTCCCCAGAGGCTCATGTGTTAAAGGCTTGGTCCCCAGGGTCACACTACTGGTAGGTGGTGGAATTGTGAGGAGTCAGACTGGTCAAAAGGCAGTGAGGTTGGGTTGGTCCCAGTAGAAAATAAGGAAAGGGGAGTCCCTCTAAGAGGGTGCAGACGTTTGCTTTCCACAAAAGTTATCTTTAGCAAGATCAAAGTGCCCATCCCATTCCTTGGGAGCTTCCAGTCTTAGGGGAATACCAGGGGAGTGGTGATCCCACCCTTCTGATTTTTTTTTTTGTCTTATCATAAGCAAGCAAGATAGGACAGGCAAGATTACAAACCCAGACCTTTGATGGGTTTTGTCCCGCCTTCTTTTTTTTAACTTTTATTTAACAAATATAAATTTCCAAATTACAGCTTATGGATTACAGTGGCTTCCCCGCCCCCATAACTTCCCTCCCACCCACAACCCTCCCATCTCCTGCTCCCTCTCCCATTCCATTCACATCAAGATTCATTTTCAATTATCTTTATATACAGAAGATCAGTTTAGTACATATTAAGTAAAGATTTCAACAGTTTACACCCACACAGAAACACAAAGTGTAAAGTACTGTTTGAGTACTAGTTATAGCATTAATTCACATTGGACAACACATTAAGGACAGAGATCCTACATGGGGAGTAAGTGCACAGTGACTCCTGTTACTGACTTAACAATTGACACTCTTGTTTATGGTGTCAGTAATCACCCTAGGCTCTTGTCATGGGTTTCCAAGGCTATGGAAGCATTTTGAGTTCACTGACTTCGATCTCATTCTGACAGGGTCATAGTCAAAGTGGAAGTTCTCTCCTCCCTTCAGAGAAAGGTACCTCCTTCTATGATGGCCTTTTCTTTCCACTAGAATGTCACTCACAGAGATCTTTCATTTAGGTATTTTTTTGTTTTTATTTTTGTTTTTGTTTTTGCCAGAATGTCTTGGCTTTCCATGCCTATAATACTCTCATGGGCTCTTCAGCCAGATCCAAATGCCTTAAGGGCTGATTCTGAGGCCAGAGTGCTGGTTAGGACATCTGCCATTCTATGAGTCTGCTGTGTATCCCACTTCCCATGATGGATCATTCTCTCCCTTTTTTAATCTATCAGTTAGTATTAGCAGACACTAATCTTGTTTATGTGATCCCTTTGACTCTAAGACCTATCTGTGTGATCAATTGTGACCTGAAATTGATCACTTGGACTAGTGAGGTGGCATTGGTACATGCCACCTTGATGGGATTGTATTGGAATCCCCTGGCACGTTTCTAACTCTTCCATTTGGGGCAAGTCCAATTGAGCATGTCCCATATTGTACATCTCCTCCCTCTCTTATTCCCACTCTTATATTTAACAGGGATCACTTTTCAGTTAAAATTAAAACACCTAAGAATAATTGTGTATTAATTAAAGAGTTCAACCAATAGCATTAAGTAGAACAAAAAAATACTAAAAGGGATAAAGTAGTAAGTTGTTCATCAACATTCAGGACAAGGGCTGATCAAGTCACTGTTTCTCATAGCGTCCGTTTCACTTCAACAGGCTTCGTTTTTGGTGTTCGGTTAGTTGTCACCGATCAGGAAGAACATATGCTATTCGCCCCTTTGGGACTGGCTTATTTCACTCAGCACGATGTTTTCCAGATTCCTCCATTTTGTTGCAAATGACCGGATTTCATTGTTTTTTACTGCTGTATAGTATTCTATAGAGTACATGTCCCATAATTTCTTTATCCAGTCTATTGTTGATAGGCATTTAGGTTGATTCCAGGTCTTAGCTATTGTGAATTGAGCTGCAATAAACATTAATGTGCATACAGCTTTTTTATTTGCCAATTTAATTTCCTTTGGGTAAATTCCAAGGAGTGGGATGTCTGGGTTGTATGGTAGGGTTATATTCAGGATTCTGAGGAATCTCCAAACTGACTTCCATAGTAGCTTTACCAGTTTGCATTCGCCCCAAGAGTGGGTTAGTGTCCCTTTTTCCCCACATCCTCTCGAGCATCTGTTGTTGGTAGGTTTCTGTATGTGAGCCATTCTAACCGGGGTGAGGTGAAACCTCATTGAGGTTTTGATTTGCATTTCCTTGATTGCTAGTGATCCTGAACATTTTTTCATGTGTCTATTGGCGATTTGGATTTCCTCTTCTGAAAAATGTCTGCTGGCACCGTGGCTCAATAGGTTAATCTTCCGCCTGCGGCACCGGCACCCAGGGTTCTAGTCCCGGTCAGGGCGCCGGATTCTGTCCCGGTTGCTCCTCTTCCAGTCCAGCTCTCTGCTGTGGCCTGAGAAGGCAGTGGAGGATGGAAGGAAAGGAAAGGAAAGGAAAGGAAAGGAAAGGAAAGGAAAGGAAAGGAAAGGAAAGGAAAGGAAAGGAAAGGAAAGGAAAGGAAAGGAAAGGAAAGGAAAGGAAAGGAAAGGAAAGGAAAGGAAAGGAAAGGAAAGGAAAGGAAAGGAAAGGAAAGGAAAGGAAAGGAAAGGAAAGGAAAGGAAAGGAAAGGAAAGGAAAGGAAAGGAAAGGAAAGGAAAGGAAAGGAAAATGTCTATTGAGGTCCTTGGCCCATCTCTTAAGTGGGTTGTTTGTTTTGTTGTTGTGGAGTTTCTTGTCCCCGCCTTCTAACTGATTATTAGCTCATGTTCCAAAGTGTGCTTAAAAGACTCAGCCCCTTCAGATCACTCCAGCAGGAGGTTTCTGACATAAATAAATCTTGCTTTTCTCTCTGCCTTGTCGGCCATGGAAATTCTCCTCTCATGTGAGACAAAGAACCAAGGTCATCTTTCTTTGCTGCCGTGTCACCTGTAACAGAACTCTGAGAGGAGGCCTGGGGGAGGGCCTTGTGCCCTGGTCCTCAGAAGGCAGCCTTCATGAGAGGATTGTTATAAGAACTTGACTTTGAGCTTAGTCTCTCTCTCTCCTCCCTGGCTCCGGATGTCATCTCCTCCTCCAACATCTGCTCCCACCATGGCCATCTGCCACCCTCACCAGAGGCCAAACCAATGAGGCCATCTGGTTGTAGATTTGAACCTCCAGAACTAAGTAAGTCTTTTCTCTTTATAAAATTAGTTGCCTCAGGTATGTCATTGTAATAGCAAGAATCTGAGTAATACAGCATCTGTTGCTATTCCTAATTTATAACACAGTTCCATCCCTCTCTTTATAGATTATAACATGCCTTGAGAGGACCAAATCTTTTCATAGAACTGCTGCTACCAAAGTGACCATAGACTACATGCTGGACACCACGCTTGCCATAATACACATCATGTTTTCAACCTCCCATAGGAATTAGGTTTTAGACCCATTTAACCAGGCGAGGAAGTTGGGACTCAAGTACTGTGTTTAAGGTTTCTCACAGTTGCTATTGATTTGAACCCCAGGAACTTGTTCTATTGACAACGAAGTGTGAGGCCAATGAACAAAAAGATGAGAAGGTGATTAGCAAAGGATTTTATTAGAAAAAAAAAACATGAAAAGTAAGAAATTCCTGCACATGATAGACCAGGTGGGTAAGGACAGAGACCCCAGTCGGTATTCAGGCTGATATTTCTATGGACATGAGTATGGGTCCCGCATTTCTTCTTCTCCTACAGCCTCTCTGGGATACTACCTGATGCAAGGTTTTCTGGGTGTGGAATCCCTCCCACAACCTCTCAATAGTCTTCTTGGTGAAGGGCGGATGAGATTCCCCAGAGCTGCCCACAGAGTGAGGGCTGAAACCCATCAAACAGGGTTGTAACCCAAGATCAATTACTTTAGGAATGGAATTTCCCTAAGTTAACTCCTCTGGGCTGTACTGGCCATCAAGGTTTTTATTCTAACACAGAAGCACATGTCTCCTTCAGTGATCAGAACCTTGTGGAACCAGCTGGGTTTCTTTTTATAAAGGATAGGCAAGGCCACCTTGGGCTAAGGCGGACAGACCACAGGCTGGGTCTTGCTTTCAGAACTTGTTTCCTCGTCCCAGTGCACATACATTGATTTTCTTTACAACTTCTCATTTTCTTTGGCCGCTCTTTTATACATAGGCTAATAGCTACCTAGCTGCCTTAGTATCACCCAGGCAGGTAAAATTCATGGCGGCCTCTCCGGTTTTTAACTGACATTCCACTTCCCCTTCTCTCGGGTACTGACAGAGCCACTTTCCATTGCAATTGCTGGGAGGTAAGAAATCAGAAGGGGACCAGTGCTGTGCCGTAGTGGGCTAAGCCTCCACCTGTGGAGCCAGCTTCCTATATGGGCATCAGTTCGAGTCCTGGCTGCTCCTCTTCTGACCCAGCTCTCTGCTTATGGCCTGGAAATGCAGTGGAAGATGGCCAGAGTTCTTGGGCCCCTGAACCTGCATGGGAGACCTGGAAGAAGCCTCTGGCTCCTGGCTTCAGATGGGCCTATCTCCGGCCATTGGGGCCATTTGCAGGGTGAACCAGTGGATGGAAGATCTTGCTCTCTGTCTCACCCTATTACTCTACTTCTCAAATAAAAAAAAAAAAAAAAAAGAATAAGGAGGCAGTGACAGGGACTAAGGGCACTCGGATCGTTGGAGTTTACAGCATGCTTTTGAGAAAATAAATGGAACCCTTTTGTGAAGTATAAAAGTCCATACAGATGTTGCCCTTAGTATTTGAACAGGTAAAGGGTTGCTAACACTAAGTCATGGCTTACCTCATTAGAGGCAAGCATATATGGGAAGTAGGGCTCTTTGCTTGGTGAGCTCCGCTCCCATCCCTCTTGCGAGAAGAACTCTCTGCAGTGGGCGACCCTGGCCATCCTCAGGCCCAGGATTGTGCAGGAACGTTGTGGGGAGAGCAGCAGAGAAGTGGGTTTTCAATGACAATAATCACTCCATGGTTTGGCAATTTTATTGGAAAACAAGTACAGTCTATTGATCAACAATGTGTGCTGTACGTGAGTTTGGCATTTTGAGATATAAAAATAGTTGACATCTGCGGCAGAAGTATACAAACAAGTTTTAAAAATACCCTTCATCATCGACCAGTACAAACATAATACATCAACAATGTCATTTACAAAATGGCTCAAAACTTTTCCTCTTATTGCAAATAAGATGAAAAAGAAAGGCAGGATAGGGGAAATCCAGATTCTGCGCAGTCTGTTTTATGGACTGGTAATGAAATCCTCTGTTGCCTTTGCAAACCCTTCATCAACACATAGGGTCGACTTAGGAAAAAAAATCACTAACACAAAGTGCAATGCAATCTAAGCAACAGGAAGGAAGAGCTTTCAAAAGTTTGGGGTGGGGGAGGGGAGCAAAAGGCAAAGGAAGTTCAAGGGACCCTGGAATGTGGCTTCTTCCTCTGGAATCCTCCCAGGTACCCGGAGTGACATTGCACTTCCGTTAGGGAGACACCTCAGCTGGCCCAGGCTTCTCCCTTAACTCTGTCCCTTCCCAGACTCCAGGGACTGGCTACTTATATTCCATGGTTGCTCCCCCATTTCCTTATTTTCTGGCCCGTTTCGTCACTACTTCTAATGTTTAGGATTGCCTTGCCTTCTTGGCGTGGTACATGCAAACATGTTTTCCAGAAAACAGACTAAAGTCACCAACCACACTGCATTTTGAAAGCGTCTCACAGATGCAGGGGACAGGTCACTCCTCTGCACCCCTGTACGCCGTGCTGCCCTTTCCCTCAAAGCAGAGCTCTGGGACATGCATTATCACTCGGTGCTGTCAGTCCAGACCCAGGCTCAAAATCCTAAACTCCATGCCTCTGTCTGGTTCTGACACCTTCAGGGTGAAAAAAAAAAAAGACTTCTTTCAGTAGAAGTGCAAATATACCCATAAGATTGCACATTAAAGCTAGAAAACATGTCCCTGGTCATATACTTTTTCAAACTTTGCAATTGTCCTGCAATAAATGGCCCATAACCTTGACTTTGCAGATGTGGGGGTGGTTTCCCTAGTTATCCCAAGGTCTGAAATCAAACTAAAAATATATATATTTGTTCTATATTAAAAAATTTCATCTTTGATTAAAAATATTTAAAGGAAAATCATAAGAAAAAAGGTTTTATAAACTCTAAATATGATTTTTTATAAATTCTAACAATCAAAAGTTTGGAATTTGATTTCTTAAATACAAGTATTCCCAGATTCATTAGCTTCCTTGAAAGCTATTATTTCTTCTCTCAAAAGTGTCGAGTCACGGACCTGAAATCCAAACTCTCAGAACCCTGGTCAGAAGCCAGACACACGAGTCCAAGTCCTAGTTTGAATATAACTAATGGTGTGACTTTTTAAAAATAGGTCTCTTTCTCCATATATAAAATTTGAATCATTGCGAAACTTAAATAAAATAATCTAAGAATGCTTTAAACCCTAAGGCATCACTCAAATCTACATCACGCATGCAAAGTACTTGCAGAAGGCAGTGAGAAACAGAGGAGCGACACCAGGGCCCCTGCAGCAGAGAGCAGATTGCAGCTGGAAAGGGAACCCCTCTCACACTGGCAGGAGAGAGAGGGCGTCACAAGTTGTCTCTTTAGACTCCGTTCTGTATTTCAGTACATGTTGGGCTGACTAGAGAAAACACAAGAAGGAAAGACACCAGTCTAGGTGGAGGAGCGCTGGGGGCAGGTGCAGAGGCCGGGGACGCTGACCCGGAAATTCACAGTAGCACAGTTTGGGGAGGTCGGGAGGAGGCAGCAACTGATGGGAAAACTCCAACTGTAGCTCCTGAACTAAAGCTCTGAGCCCTCGGGAGCTGTTTCGCAGGGGCAGGGTGAGACGAGAGCAGCATTTTAGGAAGGGTGGTTTATCTGAGGGGTGTCCCTGCGACAGAGCAGAGTGGGGGAGACCCTGGGAAGCCATCCTTGCAAAGGAGGGATGAGCTGAGTAAAAGGCAAAAGAATAGGGACGAACAGGATGGCCACTCCAGGGAGAAGAGCCCTAAGAGGTAAATTAGTTCCCTGCTCCTGTCGCTTTTAAAATTCTTTCTCTCCTGCAGAAAGCCAAGGGGATTTCAAACTGTTGGAATCCCTTTGTTTGTTAAAATGAGAGTTTTCACGTTCCGTAAAGGGAAAAGCCATCTTTGGTAACCGACTACTGGCTGTGGGCATATAGGGGACTTACAAGTCCGTGGAAAGTTCTCAGAGAAGTTGCCCTTCCTGTATGTGCTCTCCCTGCAACCCTGCCCAGCTCAGCCACTCCAGGGCCAGAGCGGGCCACAGCCCCGCCCTGGACTTCACAGAAGTCCTCCGTGTCCTTTCCGCCAGGTACATCTCCAAGACTTTTCTCAACAGAACAAACAGAGCATCCTCTTGAAAGGCCCTCCCCAAGGCCTCTGCTCTGAATTGCTTTGCCTGCTACATCACCACACCCTGCTCCCTTAACAATCTGTTTCCAGGTGACGCTGGGTATAAGGGACCGTAACAGGGCCAAGACAGCAGGAGGCACAGGCCCGCCTGCAGTGCCATAAGACAAGAGGCAATCAGAGAACCCCAGCCTCCCCAGGTTAGCCAAGAGGCAAGTGAATTTCTCTTTGCAGTTTCTTCTTAGTGTCTGGGTTAGAGGCTGTGGCCAGAAACTGGCGACTGGATGAAGGCACCTGCCGCTGGACAGGCATGTGATACCGAACGTTTTTCCAGAACCTGGTCTTGGCGGACTGTGGCCCCTCTTTGAAGTCCCCCGACCAGCGGATGGCCCCATGCTTCTGCTTAATGAATTTAATGGATTCTGGCATCTTCTCGTAGTTGTGGATCTTCTCCAGCTCCAGCAGCATAACCTTAATTCCATCCTGAATGAGGGCGTTGTACATGGCTATCTGCTCTTCCGATGACCCACCCAGCCAGGTGAAGTTTGAGGTCTCTCTCACTAAAATCACAATCAGTCTTCTGCTTTTCTTTATATGTTCATTAGTGACCTCAACAATGTCTGGAAAACAGGCAGCACAGCATAGTAAGTACAATGCTCATTTACAACCATTCTCTGCAGATCCAAAACCTCAGAAGGTTCTTCCCAACCCATTCCCTGTGACTCACAACTACTCCTCTCTTGCCTTCTTAACATTAAAGGGGTTTCCTAGTATGTAAGTCAGTTCAAAAACTGGCCCACACAAGCAGAAGATTTCATCTAGACTCAGAAAAGTTGAATTCAAATTAAAAAAAAAATCTTGTCAAATCATTTAATCTTGGACAGGCATTTGGTCTAGCAGTAAGACTCCAATGAAGATGCCTGCATTGTAGACCAGCAGGTAAAGCTACTGCCTGCAATGCCAGCATCCCATATGGGAACAGGTTTGTGTCCCAGATGCTCCACTGCCAATCCAGCTCCCTGCTAATGGCCTGGGAAAGCAGCAGAGGATGAATCAAGTATTTGGGCCCCTACTACCCATGTGGGAGACCAGATGAAGCTCCTGGCTCCTGGGTTTGGCTTTGTCCAGCCCTGGCTATTGCAGGCATCTAGGGAGTGAACCAGCAGATGGAAGATCTCTCTCTGTGTCCCTCCCTCTCTCTCTGTAAAAAAAAGTAAATCTAAAAAAAAAAAAAAAAAAAAAGATGGCAGGCCAGTGCTGTGGCTCACTAGGCTAATCCTCCGCCTTGTGGCGCCGGCACACCGGGTTCTAGTCCCGGTCAGGGCGCCAGATTCTGTCCTGGTTGCCCCTCTTCCAGGCCAGCTCTCTGGTGTGGCTCGGGAGTGCAGTGGAGGATGGCCCAAGTGCTTGGGCCCTGCACCCCATGGGAGACCAGGAGAAGCACCTGGTTCCTGCCATTGGATCAGCGTGGTGTGCCGGCCGCAGTGCACCGACTGTGGTGGCCATTGGAGGGTGAACCAATGGCAAAGGAAGACCTTTCTCTCTGTCTGTCTCTCTCACTGTCCACTCTGCCTGTCCAAAAAGAAAAAAAAAAGAAAAGAAAGAAAAGGAAAGGAGAGGAAAGGAAAAGGAAAAGGAAAAGGAAAAGGAAAAGGAAAAGGAAAAGAAAGATGGCTGCATCCTACATTGAAGTGCCCAGGTTTGAGTTCTGGCTCCTCTCTTGATTAGGCCTCCAGCTAATGAGCTCCCAGCAACCAACCTTGGCCTAGTTCAGCCTTAAATGTTGGGGGAATTTGGGGAGTAAACCAGCAGATGGAAGCTTTTTATCTCTCTGCCTCTAATTTATGAAATCCATGCAACATATACAATAAATTTATTAAATAAATAAAAAATGTTAAAAATCATTTCATCTAGATCACTCCTATTCTATTGTATCAGTGGTAAAGTAACAATTGTGTTAATTGTTAATTGTTAATAGTAAGTAGCTTTCCCAAAAGTCAGGAAAAGTCAGCTAATTATTGCTCCAACAATATATGAGAGAAGTGAACACTCTGTATGTAGTAACTGTGAAAGTTGTCATCATATACCATTGAAGAGGTTCTTAAGATTGTCAAAATGTGCACCTGTGCCACAGTCTTATAGAAAGATCCCAAACTTTAGAAATTTATTTTACAACATAAGCCTTCTACTTTTTTTTTTTTTTTTTTGCCATTACATACATACCTTCCCCAACATAGTCATCCCTGCCATAAATGAACAGCTTATACCCAAATTGTTTTTCCAAGACTTCAGGCAAGACTTTAAACACAAAAATATCTGAGTTAGAGGTGGACTCTCCTGTGAGGGTCTTTGGATATAGTATGTATGCATCATAGGTCTTTCCATCTGGAGCTAAAAGCAAAAATAAGTATTCAGACCAAAAGGAAAACGAGGAAATCTGATAAAGTCAGTATGATAAGCATGCATTTGTTATTATCTTTGTGTATGATGGCATGACTGCAGCAACAATACCAAAAACACAATTATAATGCCTTTGGGGAATGCTTGTCTGCTGCAAGGTTTTTATTTATGGTGCTTTACTATGAAGCTGTTCTTATGTTGAATTTTATAACCTCTTCCTTTACATGCATTTGGTATAAAAATATCCTTATCTTCCTGTTATTTATTTCCATACATTCCAGCCCTGAATTCTATTCATTCTTCCCTGTATATACTCTTGGGGTGTTAGCTTTTTTGTACGATTTTAACAAAACTACAAGAAAGAGCCTTTCTGGTGCATGAAAATTGAGTCACTTATTTCATCTGTAGGCAGATCATGAAGTGTTCTATGCCTAGTCCAGCACAGAACACGTCCTCAACACTGGCTTCTGAATTACTGAGTTTAGCAATAGCTGCTGCAAACACATGTCTGTCTACCAATGTGAATGCTAAGGAAGTAATTCCAAAAAAAGGGGCAGGCAGCCGAGTCAGTTATGAAACTATAATTATGTAGAATAATCACTATTCCTGTATAAGCTACCTTTGCCCTCTTAGTCATTGTCTACATCTCCAACCAAACACATATATTGCATAGAAGATAAAATTATACCTTTCTTTGGGAGGAAATCATAGCAGGAATCCCTGTACCAGAGTACAATGTCAACTTTGAAGATTTTATATATGAAAACAGAGCACATAATTAGCACTGTTAACATGACACATATCCCAATTGTGTGCTTCTGGAAATCAGGGACTACAGTAGAAAAGATGGAGAAAAATATTAGGACCAAAAAAAAAAAAAAATTTGAACATAGCAAATTGAATATTCGCAGCCCAGAGAAATCATATTTGGGATTAGTCTGTATTCAGACAGCATTAACTCACTCGTTATTATCACTTAATAATGGATACTAATGTGCAAACCAATCTAGTATGGATGCTATAGAAAACTATGATGCCTTGTATTGAATTTTCACCAAAATAGCATAACATACAACAACAGAGGGAACATATCCAAGACCATAGGACGGACCACTCTGTAGTAAAACAAGTTGAAGTTAAAGTCTCTCAGAAGCCTCCCAAAATTTCCTGGGGTAGGAAAGGAAGTTGGGAAAAGTCAGTCTCAGGGATAAAAAAAAAAGAAGAGGGGAGGTGGTTTTAGGATTGGTTCACATTCCAGTATCCTGCTGGCCTCTCTAGTTATGCATCCCATGATTCCGCTCAGAGGGGCGGGGGGGGGGGGGTGCGGGGTAGGGAGTTGGGGGGTGGTGGTAAGGTGAATATGGGGGTTAGGGGGTGGGGAGGAGAAGCAGAACTAGAAAAAATGTCTTCTCAATGCCAGGGATTGTGTAGAAAGAGAATCGCAAGCTTTTATATGTTTTCCAATTTGGATCTTTGATCTGTCTGGAACTGATTTTAGCACAAAGTGGAAATGAAGATGTGTCATTTTCCAGACTAACTTTCAACTGGCCTGGTTTATAGACTGCACTGCTACAGCGACATGTATGATCATGTAGTATATGTAACATGTATGATAATGAGAGTGTAACATGATCACGATAGAGTATGTAACAAGTGTGATCATGACAGAGTATGTAAATGTATGATCGTGACAGTGTATGTAAATCTCCAGGTTTGTTGTTCTTATTTAAAACCACGTCAGCTATTCTTGGTCTTTTACATTTCCATATGATCTTGAGGATGAACTCTAGTGGCCACTCACGCAAACATACACTATTTCCCAATCACTGCATAGACTTTGGCTGGAATTATTTTGAATCTACAGATTCACTTGGGAGAACCGACCCCTTCTTAATATCGATTCTTTTAATCTGTGAGCCTTTATAACCTCCTATTTATTTAGGTCTTCTCTAACATATTGCAATAATTTAGTTGACTTTGTATTTGACAAGTTTTGAACAGCTTTTGCTAGACTTATTCTTAACTATTTGATGATTTTTTGATATAACAAATGTCATCTTTTACATTTAATTTCTTACCATATGTTCTTAGCATTTAAATACATCCAGAAAGTATATATAGTAAGATCATTCTATTGATTATGCCAATTCATGAAAAATTAATAATTTCTGGCATCCATTTTGAATAGTGAATATTTACACTTCTGTGATGCATCAAGTATGTAGTCACTCAATTGAAAATATTCAGTGTACCAGACTTGAGATGCTACTACTTCTGGAAGTAGGAAAATTGTACATACTAGGCTCCATCACAGAATTTAGTCAAGTAAAGAAGACCAAGCCTGACAGTTGCTGTGATGGGAATCTAGGGAGCTATGGAAAACACAGCAGAGATTCTGACCTTGTGTGTTTAGGCAGACAGCTGGGTCAAGGGCAGACAGCGGGACAGAAAAGCTTCTCAGAAGATTACAGTTCAGCTGAGAAATGAAAGAGGACTGAAGTTTACACAGGGCAAGAGAAAATAAAGAGAGTTCTAGGTAGAGAAAACAGCACTGCAAACTTCAAGGTCATGCAATCTTAACTACAGTGAAACAAAATTGCAGTTCAAATAAATAGGTGGCTGTTTACCTGGAGGTATTAATTTGATGTATGCTACATTTAAACCATATGTGTTCTTGGCTAAACAAATAAATGGATATAGATAAAATCTACTTTCCACTTCTAAAATGTTGAGCATTGCGAGTTGCGTACTTCGTTTTTTACATGAAGGATTTTCCAAGCTGCTCAAAAGAGAAAGAATAAATAAAATTGTATAATTACATCAACTACACATAAGACACATTATTACTTTACTTGTAATGAAAATAGCAACTGAATTAAACACTTGCTCTAAATATAGGCATAACAATCAGACACGGTTGGCAACAATGGCCTGAGATTTTTACAATCTCCAGATCATTATAAGGAACCGATTCGGTAGCACAGGAATCAAATTTAAATCACCAGCCTCCAAGAAGAAAAATCTGGATATAGGCATTTTGGGCATAAGGAAGACTATATTAAACAAAAGTGGATCAGGGCAGATACCAAAGGTGTTTGCTCATGTTGCAAAGGGGAGAATAAAGGGGGCCAGGAGATCCTGGTCCCACACGCAGGTACACTTGGAAGCCAACAGTGACCTCTGAGAAGTGGAATGCCTGATTCTCGACCCTGTTTAATGGGTCTTTTCTAGACTACATTTAAAATATGAAGAGCAATTCAGGAGAATTTCTTCATTAGAATTTGTAACATGCAAAACCCAATTTACGAGAAAGAATTCTAAGTGGTGTAGCATTTATGACCCAATGACATACAGCTACATTTTCTACCTCCAAACATATAAGATGTTATAAATCCTATATAACTCAGCCAAATTCAAAAAGGGCAGCAAAAGATTAGGATGAACTGATGCCAAATAACTCTGGATATTAGATTAAAACATGGAGTGGACTTTAATACCAGAATCTGACTGGCATACTTACAATTTATATTCTTCTTCCAGTAGTGGATCCTCATCATCAATTCCCGACCCATTCCACTTCCAGTAAACAGCATCACTGTACTGCCCAGTCACGTTGCAGATCAGTTGTATCTGAGATCCTGCAAAAAAATGGAGTTTTAATCATAGCATTAATTGATTTTTAGACTAACCTATCTATGCATGTTAATAAATGGCTATTGAACAAAATGTTTAAATTCTAGAAAAGCACAAAGAAAACTGAAAATTGTCCTTCGACCCCAGCAGCAGAAATAACCACTATTAGCAACTTTACGTACCTCATCCTTTTTATTTTCTATGCATATAAGCAATTTTAATTTTTTGTTGTATGCATTTTTATTTGAAAGGCACACAAGAACAAGAGTGAGAGCAAGAGAAAGAAAAATAGAGAATGATTTTATCACCTGGTTCATTCCCCCAAATGCCTACAAGAGCCAGGGCTGGGCTGGGCTGAAACTAGGAGCCCAGAGCTCCATCCAGGTCTTCCATATATGAGTGGCAAAGACTCAAATACTCGACTTATCATTTGATGGCACACATTAGACCACTGGATCAGAAGTGGGGCGACAATTCAAACCCAGGAACTTCAATATGGGACTGCATCCCAAGTGGCATTTTAACCAAATGTGCCAAATACTCACCCTTAAGCAATTTCTATTGTTTATTATCTTGTAATTACCATTAATTGGGAATTTTAGCCTACTTGATCAGTCTTCTAAAACAGGCTGTTTCATATTTTTAATATTGACATAGTGTAACAATTTTTTTGTTGCTGAGTACAATTCATTTCTAATTTTTCATTATATTTATGAAGATTATTTATTTATTTGTTATTTATTTGAATGGTAGAATTAGACAGAGATCTTCTATTCACCGGTTCACTTCTCAAATGGCCAAAATGGCTGGGGCTGGGCCAGGCAGAAGCCAGGACACAAGATCTTCCAGGTCTCCCACATGAGTACAGGAGCCCAAGCACCTGGGCCATCTTCTGCTGCTTTTCCCAGGCTATTAGCAGGGAGCTGGATCAGAAGTAGAGCAGCTGGGACTTGAACCTGTGCCCATATGGAATGCTGATGCTACAGGCAACAGCTTTACCCGCAATGCCACAATGCCAGCCCCTAATTTTTCATTATTATGATTAATATTCCAATGAACATCCTAGTACATCAGTGACTCTACATACTAGAGTATCAGTTTGAATAAAAACTCTGGGAATAGAATTTAAAGGAGACACTTATTGAAAACACCAGCACGCCTCCGTCACGGGAGGCTGTTTCAGTGCGTGCTTCCAGGCACAGCTGCAAGCACCCTTGTCCCCCAAACCTCCAGCCAATGAGTGTTTTTGGTCAGTCATTGCTGACTGAGAGAAGACGAAATCCATTTAAATGTAGCCTTGAATTCATGGTGAACTAACATGTCTTGCTCATTTCAATTTTTACTTATTTATTGTCATTTGATTTGAAAGGCAGAGAGATGGAGACAGAGTTCTTTCACATGCTGGTACACTCCCCAAAATGCTCACACTAACCAAGGCTGGGCCAGGCCAAATCTAGGGGCCCAGAACTCAATCCAGTTTTCCCACATGGGCAGCAGGGATCCAGGGATTTGACCCATCACCTGCTGTCTCCCAGGGTGTGTACTAGCAGGAAGTTAGAACTGGAAATGGAACCAAGACTCACACCCAGACACTGAAAGGGGTATCCCAAGCAGCATGTTAATCACTATGCCAAACACCACTTCTCACACATTTTTCACATGCTTATATTCTTGGCCTTTCCTTTAAGAATTATCATGTACACTCTCTATTTTTTAATTGCATTCTCTTATTACTGACATGTATGAGCTCATTACTTATCAAGGATATTAATTCCTTATATACACAAAACAATTCAAATATTTTCTAAGGTAGTTGCTTTTTCTACTTATGAAAATTCTTTGATGTAGCTCTCTTATTTTTTTACTTAATCTAATTTACATTAAAAAAAAATTATTGTCACTATATTTTCCTAAAACCACTCTCTACCAGGAAATCAAGAAAATACCTAAGTATGTTTTCTTTCAAGTATATAATAATGTCTGGTTTATTGTTTTATATTTTTTAAAATTTATTTGTTTTATATTTGAAAAGAAGGGCTACAGAGGAAGAGACATAGATAGATCTTCCATCCACTGAGTAACTCCTCAACTGGCCTCAGAAGCCAGCGCTGAGGTGGGCTGAAGCCAGAACTTGGGCCATCTCCTGCTGCCTTCCTAGGTGCATTAGTGGGGAGCTGGATCAGAAGTGGAGCAGCCGGGACTCAAACCAGCACTCCTATGGGATGCTGCCATTGTAGACGCTGGCTTAACCTACTGCACTGCAATGCCAGCCCCAGACTGTCTTAAGTCTTTCATTCATCTAGAATATAACTACCTACAATATGAGAAGAGCTTTTCCTTAATATTTCTATCCAAATATTTGATTAAGCATTCTAGAACAACTGGCTGATGCTAATGTCCTGCTCACTAATTTGTGATGATCCCTTTATCACAGAATAAATGCTACGTTTATCACAAAACGTTTATTTTGGACTTCCTCAATCTGACCACACCGGTACAAAGGACATCAAACTCGTAATCATTGAGGTTTTAGAGCAAAGACTAACATGTTGGAGCTCTTGCATTTCATGGTGTCTTAGCAAATCTCACCTCAATATTCTTCCTATTGGAGTCACTTACCAATTGTTAAGTCCATTCATATTTTACTAGAATTCTATTAGATTTATAGATGAATTTTGAGAGTCAACATCTTTATTATTTCTAGTTCTTCATACAGGAAACACATTCATATCTATATTGTGGTTTTTGTTAAACCAATGTTTTTGGAGATTGTTTTCAAGTTTGCTTTCTTTGGAGTCTTTATAGACTTTTTTTTCCTAATTGCACCTTCCTCACAAATTTTTAATACCACAGATATAAAATATCTATGTAGATTTCAGTTTTCATTCTCAAGCCAATTTTCTTTTGGTTGGATATAGTGCTGCCCCTGCCTCCCCTGAGAATGACTAATTTAAATCTTAGTTTTTCTCTCATTCATGCTTCAAAGTTTTGGGGAGTTTTTTCCTCCTTTAAATATCTCACATAATTAAAAAGATTTTGCTAAGATATTTTACAGGTATTTCTAAGCTACTTCCACCACAATAGGATCTCTTTTCCCATTATATTTTTTGGTTGATAATATAAATAAGAAATATTTATATTACTTATTTATAAGTAATATTTCAAAATATTAATTTTATGTGTCTACTTAATAACATAATAATTTAATTTTTCCGAGTAATTATCTTAGGATTTGTAGGTAAAAAAGTATATAGTCTGAAAATAAGAAATTTTGAAAGTATTTTTTCCTTAGTGAAAGCATACCTCGTTTTTTTCCTCCAATCACAGTGGTGGATGCTTTCAGACCCTGCTACGTAATACTGGTTATGTGAGTGTCTTTGTCTTGCTGGAGACTTCCTTGAGGAGGTCTATGACATTTCACCATTTTTAAGAATGTTGGTGAAGCCAGCCAGTGCTGTGGCATAGCAGGTGAAGCCACAGCCTGCATCGCCGGCATCCCATATGGGCGCCAGTACGAGTCCCAGTGGCACTACTTCTGATCCTGCTCCCTGCTGATGAGTCTGGGAAGGCAGCCAACGATGGCCCAAGTCCCTGGGCCCCTGCACCCACGTGGGAGACCTGGAGGCGGCTCCTGGCTCCTGGCTTCAGTCTGGCCCAGCCCTGGCCACTGTGGTCATCTGGAGAGGGGACCAGCAGATGGAAGACCTCTCTCTCAGCCTTTGCCTCTCCCTCTCTGCGACTCTGACTTTCAAATAAAATAATATTTTTAAAAAATGTCTGTGATGGGGCTGGCACTGCGGCAATAGGGGGTAAAGCCAATGCCTGTGATGCTGGCATCCCATATGGGCACCGGTTCAAGTCCTGGCTGCTCCACTTCTGATCCTGCTCCCTGCAAATAATACATCTGAGAAAACAGCAGAGGATGGACCAAGTGCTTGAGCCCCTGCACCCACATGAGAGACCAGAAGAAGGTCCTGTGTCCTGGCTTCAGCCTGGACCAGCCCCAGCCCCAGCCGTTGTGGCCATTTAGGGAGTGAACTAGCAGATGGAAGATCTCTCTTTCTGTCTCTCTGTCTCTCCTTCTCTCTAACTTTGCCTTCAAATAAATAAGATAAATCTTAAAAAAAAAAAAAAAAAGAGAAAGAATGCTGGTGATTACTAGTCTATATTGATTATTGTTTATTAAGCTTAAGGATGTATCCCTTAATTCCGACTTTTCTAAGTGATTTTAATGGTGATTTATATTGAATCTTATCAAAAGCCTATTTGTATATGTTTAGGAGACCCCTATGACAGATTGATAATGTGTCTCTGCTTTCTTGCTAATGTGTGTGATACACTAAAATAATTGTTTCTACTGTGAAGATATTTTTGGATTTGTAGATCAATACAATCTAGATTTCCGAGCTCTTAACTCTACACTTCCAGAGAATGCATTTTTAAGAGGGGCCATGGCCAACAGGGGCAAAAAGTGGTTCTTGGGGAGGGAGGCAAGAAAATCGGAGACAAATTAGTTGTGGCCATCCAAAGGGCTGGGTACATCCACAGGTACATGAGACAGGTGTGGTATTAACCTTCTGAGAAAGAAAAGAGGATTAGCAGTACAGCTTTCACAGGCAGCCGAGAGGAACAACCCCAGGAAAGATTGAGAAACACTTCTCTAGATTCTGCTGGTCCACATTTAACTATAAGTCTGACGTCTTTGTTTCCACCTAAGAACGTCTTTCTGTTATCTTCCCCCATGAATAGCCGGCTTGGCTGGCATCGAATTCACAGGCTACAAACTTTAACCTCGTAATCGCTGTACAATTGTTCATGGTCTTCGTATATTACCATAACAGAAGATAATTCCAGTCTGTTTTCCATGTTTGGACCAGTGGTTTCCCGTAGAACTTCCAGCAACGAGAGAACAGTAGTCACTAGTCATATGTGCCTATGAAGCCTTTGAAACAGACCAAATGCAGCTAAGGAACTAACTTCTAACTTAACTAAATTAATTAACTGGCTGAATTTCATTTTACCTGTATCTAGCTGCAGTGGCTACTCCATTGAACAACACAGGTTCAGGACTCTTGTAGGTTTCTTATTTATTCTCAAAACAAAAACTTCTCATCACCTTAGAAAACTATTTTTCTAGAATAACTCTCATCTTTTTGGCTTTTAGTCTTACTCTTCAGCCAAGAACATAGCTTTGCTCCTAGGAAACACAGCCTGTGCCAGTGAGATAAATTATAACATTTCTCCTTAGGCCTTTTAAACTTGGCCTCCAGTGAATGTTTTCAGGGGCAGTAACCATCCGTAGAAAAGTAGGGGTGGGAGAGTCAGACAGGGCTAGACTTTTGCCACAAGAGGTAAGAAATTAAGAAATCAAAACCATCTTAAGATATAATTTGTACTATTAATAAATATTATTGTACTATTAATAAATATTCTGTAAATGGCCTAGTACAAACATATGTGTAGTACAAATATATCTTGATCTTGAGTTCAAAAATAACGATTTCAGCATGTCCTGGCCGGAGCCCACTTACCCAAGACCACTTCCATTGTCTCATTAGCTGGACTCATAATCACTGGCTTTTGGGGCTTGTTTTCCTCTGGGGGAAAAAAAAGCATCCACAGGGTTACTCAGTGTCTGCTAATCAGAATTCCAAGTGATGACAATACTTGGCAAAATACGTGAAAAATGGTATCTGGCCAGATGGTCCCCTGAGCGCTGAAAGACCACATAGCAAGACACAGGAGGAAGCCAAGGCAGAGGCCACGGCAAACAGTAAACACCCACGACAAAGCTGGGACCCTTCCAAGGCAGGAGGTGTGGTGCTGCTGAAAAAACACAACACATCACCAGGACCCTGGGTCTCCGGACATGCACCTCTCTTAAAGCGGACCAGAAAGGGTGAGAAGCAACGGAAAGGCACGTCCCTGCACTCAGCACAGTAGCCCAGAACTCAGAACTTGCTCTGGTTATAGCAAACTATCAAGCAATTTGGCATACTTTATTAAAATAGGCAGAAAATCATCAAAAGCTTCAGAAATAAATCTTGAGTCTTCTTGACAAGAAGTTTGGTTTTGCTGGTTGCTATGGTGCGGCTGGTGAAACCGCCCTCTGCAAAGCCAACGTCCCACGTGGGTGCCGGTTCAAATCTTGGCTGCTCCACTTCAGATCCAGCTCCCAGGTGCTAAAGCACCTGGGAAGGCTGTGGGAAATGGCCCAAGTGCTTGGGCCCCTGCTCCCATGTGGGAGACCCAAATGAAGCTCCTGGCCTGGCCCTGCCCTGGTCATTGTGGCCATTTAGGGAGTCAGTCAGTGAATGGAAAATCTCTCTCCTCTTTCTGTCTCTGCTGCTCTCATTGTAACCCTTTAAAAAAAAGATTTATTTATTTATTTGAAAGAGTTACACAGAGAGAGAAGGAGAGGCAGAGAGAGAGACAGACAGAGACAGAGAAAGTCTTCCACCAGCTAGTTCACTCCCAAATTGGCCACAACAGTCAGACCTGTGCCAATCTGAAGCCAGGAGCCAGGAGCTTCTTCTGGGTCTCCCATGCAGGTACAGGGGCCCAAGGACTTGGGCCATCTTCTACTGTTTTCCCAGGCCATAGCAGAGAGCTGGATTGGAAGTGGAGCAGCCAAGACTTGAACCGGTGCCCAAATGGGATGCTGGCACTTCAGGCGGAGGCTTTACCCACTACACCACAGTGCTGGCCGCACTGTAACCCTTTCAGATAAATAAATGTCTTTTTGGCCGGCGCCGTGACTCACTAGGCTAATCCTCCGCCTTGTGGCGCCGGCACACCAGGTTCTCTAGTCCCGGTCGGGGCGCCGGATTCTGTCCCGGTTGCCCCTCTTCCAGGCCAGCTCTCTGCTGTGGCCCAAGGAGTCCCTTGGGACCTGCACCCCATGGGAGACCAGGATAAGTACCTGGCTCCTGCCATCGGATCAGCGCGGTGCACCGGCCGCAGCGTGCCGGCCGCGGCGGCCATTGGAGGGTGAACAACGGCAAAGGAAGACTTTTCTCTCTCTGCCTCTCTCTCACTGTCCACTCTGCCTGTCAAAAAAAAAAAAAATGTCTTTTTTTAAAAAAGAAAGGAAGTTTGGCTTCAAGGGTTGATCTGTGGCCAAATGGAAACCATGAGGAACTATGAACTTAAATGCCCCGTATTCTACCACAGTCAAATAAATAAATGAATGAATTCCACAAGTATACAAAGTTGTTTCTTCTTCCCTAATGTGTACCTAAAATAGTTGGTGGTATATGGTAGATGCTTAACAAGTAGTTTTGAATGCAAGAATGAATAAAATGCACAGAGCACCATTGGAATAAGCCTTGGGAAGAAAACAAAATGCCTCACTTCTGAATAGAGTACAATGTTTACAAAACTGGGATCAGAAAAGAGACAGAGAGTATGTAAAACATACTGAGTTATTTAAAACAATTCCCCTAGTAGCCAATTCTCCCCAGAGTTCTACCTCCTGGTTTGGTTACTGTGGCTCAAGAAAGACAAACCAGAGTTAGACAGTGACCAGGGACCGGCTGCTAAGAACTCAAGAAGATGGTTGTGATACAAAGACCATCAAAAATTTGGATTCACTGCTGCTTGTCAGACTAAGAAATTAATTTTACCCAACAAAACTAATCCTTATAAACAAATTATTATGTAATTAGAAAAATAGAGGTATATGCAGCATTCATTCTGAGTTTGCAGGAGATAGTCCCAGTTTAGAATTGCTGTGCCTGCATAATTACTGATAGATAACCCCTTTAACTTTCAAAAACATTCTGGTTAGAATAACTCTTCTCATACCATGTAAGCTTACAAAGTCCTGCTATTTCCAGAAAGATGGTGCATTCTGGCCATCATCAGGTGCTTTGCATTTTGTTTCATTTAGTTGTAAAACAGTTTTTGACATGAAGCATGGTGGACACAGAATGGAAACCTCGGAAACTTAACCGGGACTATCACCATACATATGTCAGTTGCATACCTGTTTTTCACCAAGCATTGCTTTACACCAGGCACAGAATCACAAGCTGAGGCAACCTCACCTCTAATCTTCCCAAGAACTTTGGGAGGTCATATCACCTTTTTTTTTTTTTAATTTGACAGGTAGAGTTATAGACAGTGAGAGAGAGAGACAGAGAGAAAGGTCTTCCTTCCGTTGGTTCAGTTCATTCCCAAAATGGCCACTGCAGCCGGTGTTAAGCCAATCCGAAGCCAGGAGCCAGGTACTTATCCTGGTCTCCCATGGGGTGCAGGAGCCCAAGCACTTGGGCCATCCTCCACTGCCCTCCCGGGCCACAGGAGAGAGCTGGACTGGAAGAGGAGCAGCCAGGACTAGAACCCGGTGTCCATATGGGATGCCGGCACTGCAGGTGGAGGATTAACCAAGTGAGCCACGGCGCCAGCCCCATCATATCACCTTCTAGCAGAGAAGGAACCAGTCATAGAGAGATTAAGGCCCTGGGCTAATAGGGAACAAACAGGTGGTAGATTCTGGAAGTATAACTTATTCCAAAGCCTACTACTAATGTCCCCTCAATCTGTGCCAAAGGTACTTATTGCTAGACACTCAGACCCCCCAGGTGTAGGCACTCAGAAAATCCCCACATACTAGCCCAAGGAGCTCTCTAGAAGAACCTTCTGTAGGCATATCAAAGAACAAGCCTCTTAGATCAGTTGGAAAGCTAAGCTCATAATGTCTCTGTTTTCATTACCACTGCATCTGAAGCAAGAATGGAAAATATTCACACAGTATTCAGCGACAAAAACAACTCAACTAAGCACGGTCTTTGTGGAGTCATGGAGCTTCTTTAGGACTCAGATCCTCCATGGATGATCAAAGTGGTATTAGGATCATTCCTGGTCTCTGAGCCTTCCCAGACCTAAACTCCTAGTTAGGCAGACATGACTCACCTAGAGTAATGAATTCTATTACCCGGCTCACAGGATACTGCTTTCCCAGGTACGTGTAGGATGCGCGACAAGTGTAGTTCCCTCTATGCGTTTCAGTCACATTCATCACAATGAGCTTATCTGTGACTCCGGAGAAGTGTACATTGTCAAGAACTAGAGGTTTGCAATCCTAGACCAAAGAAGAGAAACACTGATAACCAATGAATAACTTCCCCCGATTGACCAGTAAAAGGAACTCCATTTTGTCCCATAAGCAAATACCACATTTTGCAAAAAGTGATTGTAAAGATCCCTTGTATACAATAAGTTTTAATATTATATGTGTTTTTTTTTTTCAGGCAGAAAAGTTAATTATCTAGGATATTAAATTTGCATTACCACAAGCCTTTTTCTCTGGTGGCAAGTGAAGACAAATTTATTTTGCCAGAAAAACACATTTGAGGAAATCATGCTGCCACTACAGTTTCATGTCAACAGTACAATTCCTTTTTTCAAGGATAATCTCCAAAAATAATCTCTCATTGAAGTTCTACCAGAATAGCTAACAAAACACATGTGTTCCACGCAATGCTAGTCAGCACACTTTTGTTCAAATATTTATTTATTTATCTATTTGAAAGGCAGAGTTACAGAGAGGCAGAGGCAGAGACAACTATCCGCTGGTTCACTCCAATGGGCAAACTGCCGGAGCTGGGCCAATCCCAAGCCAGGAGCCAGCAGCTTCCTCTGGGTCTCCCATGTGGGTGCAGGGGCCCAAAGACTTGGGCTATCTTCCACTGCTTTCCCAGGCACATTAGCAGGGAGCTGGATCGTAAGTGGAGCAGACAGGGCTTGAACTGGCGCCCATAGGGGATGTCAGCATGGCAGGCAGCAGCTTTACCTGCTACACCACAACAGCAGCCATCAACCCACTTTTAAAACAGTTACAGAAGCTACAAGGTTATTTTAAAAATAATTAATAACTTTAATACAATACAGATATGATATTTTATAATAAAGAGCTATCTTCACTATCTTATATTTACTATCAGCCTTCTCTTTAAATATGTTTTAATTTTACTACTACTTTTCTCAATTAAATCTTATGAAACAAATCAATAACAAGCCTTTAAGGCCGGCGCTGCGGCTCACTAGGCTAATCATCCACCCTGCGGCGCCAGCACACCGGGTTCTAGTCCCGCTCGGGGCGCCGGATTCTGTTCCGGTTGCCCCTCTTCCAGGCCACTTCTCTGCTGTGGCCAGGGAGTGCAGTGGAGGATGGCCCAAGTGCTTGGGCCCTGCACCCGATGGGAGACCAGGATAAGTACCTGGCTCCTGTCATCAGATCAGCACAGTGCGCCAGCCGCAGTGTGCCGGCCGTGGCGGCCATTGGAGAGTGAACCAACGGCAAAGGAAGACCTTTCTCTCTGTCTCTCTCTCTCACTGTCCACTCTGCCTGTCAAAAAAAAAAAATAAATAAATAAATAAAATAAAAAAAAACAAGCCTTTGAACTACAGATTAAATGAGTACAGATTTACAATTGTTTTTATATTCCCTATTAAGTTTCACCACTAAAGAAGAAACATTTTCTTCTGTCTATGATAGAGAACTTGGACTTACTGGAAATGTAATCATCATATTTATAACAAATTTACCTTATACCACTGTATTTTGGGAAAATTGTTATTTTCATCTTTGAAAAAATCCATGTAAGGGCACACAAGTCCTCCATCTCCAGCAACGGGTAGTCTCTGTTGGAAGAGAGCTTGTGTGTTATAACACAAATTAGGTTCATTCTCCACAAATTTTGTAGTGATTCCAACTTTGAGGCAGGAAGTTGCATTTCTATAATAAAGTAAGAGAGAGAAATTAAACACACCGTTAAAAGACGGCCCCTCCCTCACTACTGCAGGTACCCAGAATGCATGTGGGGAACCTTACCTTACTACACAGTAGTAACGCCCTGAGTGCTCTGCCTTAGCAGGAACAAACCAAAGGTTATCTTTGTGTTGATGGATGCTACCATCTCGTTCCGTAGATATAGGGATTTCACTATCATTCTTATACCAATGTATAGTGCCAATCCTTTCATTTTGGTTAATAGGACAGGCGCGAACACCTATTTCATTTGCAGATGATACTATAATAATTGCTTCTTCACGTTCCTTGCAGTTATCTTAAAAAGGAAGAAAGAAAAAGAAATTTTGCAAATTATGCCAATGTTTCTAAAAATAATATCTACATTTAAATCAATCATTAAATACTTTGACTCGTAGGATCCATAAAAGCTTTATAGTCTTTGATTAAGAGCATTATCTTGACAGTCTGAAAAATTTATATTCAAATCCAGTTGTGTGTGCTGTGTGCTGTGCCCTAGGGTCAGTTATTTAACCTCTCTCACTCCCAATTTATTCGCTTGAAATAGAGATCATGTAACAGGAAAGACATGGCTTCAGTAGATGAAACATTGAGGACTGGGTTTACCTTCCTACCTGAACTAAAAAATGGACAAAGAATATGAAACAACATTGTTTAAGATGTTGAACTCAGAAAACAAAGGACAGAAATGCCAGAAAGAGCTGAAACAAAGGAAAGGAGCCCTACATTCGCCCCAAATGACTGCCGGTCCATGGCACTGCAGCAAGGAAGCACAGTGCAAAGCCCACTGTGCCCTCTGAGTTGAGGAGATGGGACTGGGAATCTGGAAAATGAAGAGCCTGCAGGGCAGAGCACCTGAACAGTCAGAGCTGCACAAATCTAGAGGGAACATATGGAGGGCTACAGGCTTCCTTGAGTTTTCAGCTAAGCACCAATCAGCCAAAGGAAGAAGGGAAGGAGGGAGGGAGAGATTGAGGGAAGGAGGGAGGGAGAGAGGGAGGGAAACAGGGGTGCTTCCTCCTGGTCTCCCACATGGGTACAGGGCCCAAGGACTTGGGCCATCCTCCAGTGCCTTCCCAGGCCACAGCAGAGAGCTGGACTGGAAGAGGAGCAACTGGGACAGAATCTGGCACCCCGAATGGGGACTAGAACCCGGGGTACCAGTGCCGCAAGCGGAGGATTAGCCAGTGAGCCGTGGCGCCAGCCTCTAACTCTGACTTTCAAATAGAGAAATGAAAAAAAATTATATGGCTGAAAATTCCATGCATTGTTTGTTGATAATATGTATTATCTATAAAGTATTTGAAGATCCTTCATATATGTGGATCTCAAAACATTTTTGCACCAAAGCAAATGTATCTTTTAATTCCATTTTACATAAATTTTTTGAAATACTCTGACAATGAAGAAATGGAATTTGTAGTTGAAAACTTTCCAACAGGGACAGGCATTTGTCCTAGCAATTAAGATGCTGCCTGGCATGCCCACACCCCACATCAGAGTGCCTGGAGGTGAGTCCCGGCTCCTTCTTAATTCCAACTTCCTGCTAACTGTACCCTGGGAGGCAGCAGGTGATGATGCAAGCAGGGTTCTGGATTGAGTTCTCAGCTCTTACTTCAGCCTAGTTCAGCCCCAACAGAGTGGACATTTGGGGAATGAACCAGTTGATGGAAGATCTCTCTCTTTCTCTTTCTCTCTGCCTCCCAAATAAATACTTAAAAAAAAAAAACCTTTCCAACAAAGATAATTTCAGGTATATATGGCTTCACTAATATATACTACCAAAAATACAAGCACCAACTAGCATTCACCAGCATTCATTAAAGAAATAATTTGAAATTTACATGAACTCTTCCATAAAACCAAAGAGGCAATACCTCCCAACTCATTCTATGAGATCAGAATTATTTTGATACCAAAATCAAACCAAGACATCACAAGAAAAGAAAATCACAAACCAATCTTTATCATGAACACAGACCCAAAATTTCTTTTAAAAGTTTTAGACATTGAATCCACAAATATTTCCAATAAAGAAAAAATCCACTAGGAAATGGAATATATCACAGTAATGCAAAGTTAAATTCAATTTCAAAAAATCTATGTAATTCTACATATTAAGAAAGAAATGAAAAAAATAAAAAAGAAATGAAATGTATCTTTTATGTAAATGGAATTAAAAGTTTATGTAAATGGAATTAAAAGATCCATTTCTTTCTGAAAAAAAGCCATATACAACAATCTCAATAGATACAGAAAAAATATTTGATAAAACCTCCATTCCAGAGAAAAACTCTCAGCAAATTAGGAATAGAAATGAATATACTGAACCTGATAAAGAGCAGATATGAAAAACCAACAGCTGTTATTTATAGTAAGACTAGGAACAAAGCTATGACTGCTTCTATTTAAAAATGTAATGGTACATCTAGCTAGTGTGCTTAAGCAAGCAAAAGCAATAAATGCCATCCAAACTGGAAAGGAAAATGAAAAGATTTTCACTTGCAGACAGCATGATCAAATGTGTAGAAAATGGTATGAAATCTACAAAACATCTAACATTAGTAAGTTGTAGGATGCAATATGGTAAGGCAAAATTGTGTTTAGTTTGCTTATGCTGGCAAAGAGCAGGTTGAAAGCGATATGTATCAATCTGAGCAGTAGAGAAAAACAGACATTGCACTCTCATCTGCTGGCTCACTCCCCCTAATGCTTACAACAGCCAGGGCTGGACCGGAGCTGAAGCCAGGGTCCAGGAGCTCTGTCTAGGTCAGGAACCCAAGGCCTTGAGCCATCATCACTGCCTCCCACAGTCTGCAATATCAGGAAGGTGGAGTCAGGAGAAAGAGCCAGGAATTCAACCCAGTCACACAGATTGGCAAGTGGATGTCTTAGCCACTAGTGCAAACACTCACCCCTGAAACTGATTTTCAGAAAAAATCATTTATAATAGCACCTAAAGATATAAAAAAAGAGGATGTCTGACAAAATATGCTTAATGTAAGATTTATACAATGAAATTTACACATTGTTCCTTAAAAAAATTTTAAAGATCTAAATAAATGAAGAACTATATACTGTTAATGAATGAGAACTATTAATATTAATAAGATGTCCATTTTCTCCAAACTTATTTTTATTTATTATCAATCAAAATATCATTGGGATTTTTTACATACATTGACAAGCTGATTACAAAATTAATATAGAATTGGCCCAAACAACTTTGATATATAAAAGAGCAAAGTTGAGTTACAACACCTTACTTTCAAGACATATTATAAAGCTGCAGCAATTACAGTGTAATTGAGACATAATGATAAGCAGGTCACTGGAACAGATTAGGGATCCCAGAAATAATTCACAAAAAATATATTCAACTGATTTTTGATAAAGGCCCAAAGTAAATGGGAGTAGAGAAAGGTGGTATTTCTAACAAATTGAGTTTCCCTATGCACAAAAATTACTCCACAGGCAGGAATTCCAAAATGGCATAGAGTTTCCAGAAATCAATCTTCCATAAAAGCAACAAAAAGATGACAAAAATTTCAAAAATCAAAGGCTTAAAGCAATCAGAGGAGAATTTATTAAACAAACAAACAAACAAATCACTTGCTAAATCACAGAAGAACAGACCAGCTTTGGGTTCGCCACCAGTCTCCCTCCCAGGGCATCACCACTCTTTGACCCAATGGCATTTCCTGGAAGTCATAGTCCCAGGAGAGCCACAGGAAAAGCCCTATCCCCAGAGCATTGGTTAAAACAAAACAAAAACAAAAACAAGCAAACAAAAAACCACATCTGTGTCAACTGTCTAACATGACAGCAGCCAAAGGCTGTGATACCTCTCGGGACAAATAATAGCCATAGCTCCAAAGTTCTGACATATTCTACAGGAATCTAGAAAGCTACCTTTGTATGCAGGGACTTGCACATGCTTAACAAAAAGTAGAGTAGGTGTGAGCCCCTCACATCTGGGGGCCTCTGCAGTCACATGGAGCAGGAAGTGATGCCAAGGCAGAATTGTAAGCCTAAGTGTTGAGAGCATGCTCCAACAACACAAAGAGGCCCTCGGCAGAGTGCACAATGTGTTGGGTCGAGTCATTTAAAGACAATTGCTGGGTGGTGAATAAAGTAACCAAGAGTGGCTTCAGGGGCCACACACTACAGGAAATACAAGACTTTGCAGAATTACTGCAGGAAAGTCACCAAACAAATGAACAGAAGCGATGGCCGGATATCAATAATAGCAGTAAAGCTTGAGTGTGCTACGGGAGTGAAAGGGATACTTGATGTCCCGATTCCCAAGATCATACTATCTAAAATGTCCAGTTTTCAACAAAATATTACAAAACATGCAAAGAAACAGTCAAACATGGCCAAGAGAAACCATTCCAGAAGGGTCCAGATATATACGACTAAAGATGCTAAATCAGCATTAAAAATAATGTTCAGAGATAGGCATTGTGCCAGCACTTGGGAGGCCTGCATTCCATTTCAGAGCGCCTGGCTTGAGTCCTAGCTACTCCGCACTTCCAGCCTAGTTTCCTGTTAATATGCCTGGGAGGTGGTTCTTATCTTTTCAAACAACCTTGATGGCTGCCGTCAACCTCATGGTTCTCACTTGAGGTGCTTTCTGAGGTCTTCAATTGCATACTTCCACCCAGACCCCTGTCCCAGGCTCTAGACTGCTCGCCACTGTTACCATTCAGACCCCTACACTGAGCATGTCCAACATGAACACCCATCCCATCATTGGCAATGGTGCCTTGCCTTTCCCAGGCCAAACCTTTGGAGTCATCCTTAAGTTTTCTCTTTACCCCACATCTCACATCCATCCCATCTGCAAATGTCTATTGGTGCTATCCTCAAAATACAGCCCCAATTTGGCTGCTTCTTCCTCTTTGCTGGCACTCTTGAAGAGGCCATTGTAACTTCTTGCCTACAACAAGTCACCATCACAACTTGCCTGGATTATCCTGACAGCCTCTTCGTTGGTTGTTTATGCCTCTTTATTCTCTGTTTATGTCTTTGCCTCCCTGGGATCTATTCTCAAAACAAACCACAATGATCCTGGTAAAATGTATATCACATCACCTCTCTGGTCTTCAACAAAGAACTCTGCCCTCAGTGGGACTATAAGCGGAGATTCTTAAACACCCACACCCACTCACCAAAATAACCTCATCTCTTTTAAGATTCCTCTCACTTCTCATTATCTCCAACCACACTGCTGTTTTACCTCCTAGATAAAGCCAGGCCTTCAGCCTCAGGATCTTTGCACATGCTGCTCAGAATATTTCTGTACCTACAACCTGTTAGCTGTATAGCTCCCTCTTTTAGGTGCCACTCAGAAGTTAACTTCTCAGCCAGGGCTTTTCTGGCTACATACACTATCAACAACTTAATCTTCTGCCCACTCCAATCTCAAAACCTTACTTTCACCTATCCTGATTTTTCTTTCCCTATGCTTATCTCTATATGATATGATTTACACTCACTAGTATATTACCTCCTTCCCCTATGGCTATTCATGGCTATCACCTTAGCACCCAGTACCTGGAACATAGTAAAGGCTTAATAAACTTGTGGTAAGGATGTGGCAGGGAAAGGAAAAAAAATATGAAGAGAAAAACAATCAGTATTTATTGGTTTCCAGCATGGGCTCACTAACATATTGCATAACATTTCCTCCAAACAGATGCCAGGACTTCCTGTATCCCCTCTTCAATCAACAGCAAGACGGAAAGAGGCCTGGACTAACTATTGGAGTTCTGGATTTTAGCCATTGCTCCGAAGCTAGAAATAATTCACAAAAATATATTCAGCTGATTTTTGATAAAGGGACACACTCAATGCCTTAGAGAAAGGTGGTGTTCTTAAACCAACCGGGCCTCAGTTTCCCAGTCTGCTGATAAGAGAATGAGAGGTGAAGACGTTCAGGACACTTCTAGGGCTAGGAGACCCTGTTTCTTGGGCATGCAGAATCAGCTCAGAAAACCAACTGCACTTCATGGATTCTCAGTCAGAGCCTTACTTCCCACACGAGAACAAGGACATGCTCCACTTACCAGCCTCCAGGGAAATCAGCAGGGCTACGACACAAACAAGCCTGAGCAACACATTCATATTCTCCTGGAAAAATGCAGAAATGGAAGACAAACTCGTTACTATTCCAGCAAGTCTCTGGAAATACAGACACCCCGCCCCCACCCTCACCTACCGAGTCGCACTGGATGCATTCGTTTTCCTACATCATCAGGATAATCAAAACTGGGAGGAAGGGGAGGCTAAGGGGTTTTAATAGAAGCAGGGGCAAATTTGACAACTTAAGATTTTGACGTTATCCACCACCTATTTCCATGGACATTTCTAGTGCTGCATCCCACCGAAGTTCCCCCCAAATCTAGCCTACGTCCAAAACAGACCACAGTCAGCCCTCCATCCTACATCTGCCAATCTAATCCATCATGGATCAAAACCATTTGAAAATAAAATTGCATCTTTTCTGAACACATGCAAACTTTCCCCCCTTGTCATCATTCCCTAAGCAATACAGTGTAATATAGTATTTACATTATCTTAGTTACGGTACGTCACCTAAAGATGGTTTAAAGTATAGGACAGGAAGTGACAGGTTCAATGCAAATACTACATCATTTTATATAAGGAACTTGAGCATCTCAGATTTTGATCTCCAGCCCCTGCTGATACTAAGGGACGACTACATTCACCTCACCCTGGGTGTCCCCTGCTCCTATGGATTTGCTCCCTACTTGGAATCTCCCCTGCGGCAAGAGTCTTCTCCCACTTCCTGCCCTCATTTTATAATGCGAGATCCAAAGCTATTTGTACAATATGATACAGCTACCCAGAATGCCCCCAAAAAAGACTAAAGTCAGTGATGGGTTCTTGTGGTTGAGTGGTTTTCCCCTTCTCTGGGACTTTTTATACATTTTAGAAGGTATAAAAATACAATGAGGATGCACGAATCTTTTTCACAAAGGAAAAAAGAGGGAAAAAAAAAAAAAACTCCACAGCCCCTGAAAATAGTTCCAAAGGCCACACCTACAGATCATCAGCTATAGAGCCATTGGTTGGCCAGTGAGATCCGGAGACTTAATTTAATTCCCTGGCCAGCGCCGCGGCTCACTAGGCTAATCATCCACCTGTGGCACCGGCACCCCAGGTTCTAGTCCCGGTTGAGGCGCCAGACTCTGTCCCAGTTGCTCCTCTTCCAGGCCAGCTCTCTGCTGTGGCCTGGGAAGGCAGTGGAGGATGGCCCAAGTGCCTGGGCCCTGCACCTGCAGGAGGAAGCTCCTGGCTCCTGGCTTCAGATCAGCACAGCACACCGGCCTTAGTGGCCATTTGGGAGTGAACCAATGGAAGGAAGACCTTTCTCTCTCTCTCACTAACTCTGCCTGTCCAAAAAAAAAAATTCCCTATCTCTCGGGCCACATGCAGGACAGACGGTACACTAGGATTAGGTACTACATGCCCGTTGCTTCATTTACAAAACAGAATCACTAAAATAATAGCAACTAAGCATGCAAGAGACAAACAAAACCCTCACTCTTGCCCACCCTTCCAGACCTCTCAAGCCCAGAGGAAATAGTCTGCCTGAATGTTCCCGATTCATGGCCCTGAGTGGGGATGCTGCCACACCGCATGCTACAAGGCTCAGTCTCATCCCTCCAGCTAGCTTGCTCGCTAATCCACTACACAGCTTGATAGTGCCTCAAACTCTCTGGCCGCCCCCAAAACCACACTCACCATCTTACCACACCTGGATCCCCAACATGCCCCATTGCGGTCCTGCTCCAGGCTTCCAAAGCACTCACACAACAAGAGACCCAGGGCCCACAGCCTCCATTCCCCCAGCCGCCCTCTCGCTGTGTCTTAACCATCTTTCTCCTTAGGCCACCAAGCCCACCCTCTGCACTCAAGGCCATTGTTAATGCTGCTTTAGTGCAAGCCATCTTCCATTCATTTTGGCAATATTGGGTCCATATTGGTCTCCCTGCCCATGGATTTGTGTCTTCCAGTCAAGCCAGAGAGCCTACGGATTATCAGCCACCGAATGCTGTGTCCCGATCGTCCAAGCTCCCTGGCAAAGCATGTGGGGTCTTGATACTAAGGTTCTGACTCCGCTTCTCCAGGTTCCCCACAACATGCATCCCCTGCACACTGCAGATGCCAGCCCTCCCCGCGTGGTGGGTCCCAGCCTTGGAAACTTTACATTTAATCTTGCCCTGTGAGCTTCCCACCCACTATTCTGGCTTCATTGTCTGAGCACCCCCAGCACCCTGTACATGCACCTGCCATGGCCCTGTGTACACTGCCTGCACTTAGCCCAGGACAGGACCCTTAGGAGGGCAGAGCTGAGACCCACCCCTCTCTGCCCTCAGAGGCAATGCCAAACAGACCAAGCAATTCTATGCTTTGAAGGAAATCTTCCTTTTAAATTTTCACTGGAGATTCAGTTTGCCTATCACATCACTAAGTAAACAGGCAAACACAAAATATTCTAACTGAAACAACACTCCTTTAGACTCTAATAACATGATATCTGTTGTATATTAGCTGGACAATGTTCTGTTGGGGAAGCTGTATTAAAAGGTATGAAATCAGTACAACACGCTGTTTAAACAAATATGGAGAAAAGATTCTCTGGGCATGTGAGGCACACCCATCCATATTCTTGAGCTTCAGCCCCAGTATGAGGATGATGAACCCCAGGTCTGGCTCAAACCTTGAAACCCAGCTCAGAGCAGTCAAACTGCATTCCTTACCCTGCAATTCTCACACTTGACGCAAATTGGCTCTCTCCCAAATTCGCCCGGCTTTATCATATTATTATGGCATTTACTTTAAACTGTATTCAGATTATGGAATAAGAGCCTGACTTATTATGTCTTTCTGGGATTGCATGGAAGTGGGCTTTATGTCTTTATGATAGAGAGGAAGAAAAGAAAGGTTCCAAAGTTTCCAGATTAGCGCCTTAGTCGGTTGCTCGCATCAGCTTGTCAACATCAAAATAAGGGCGGTCTGAAATCAACCGAACCGGCTGTTGGTTACAAGATCTGACTTGTTGAAGCATCAGACAGGACAGAGGGAAAGTTAGAGGCCAGACTGAACTTCACGGAGAGTGTATTTCAAAGTATAGTTCTAAGGTAGTTGTGAGCAAACAGCATTCCATCATTAGAGCCGCACCATCTCGATCTCCTCCCTGTGCCTCCCTTTCCTCACTGGCACAGGGGAGGCAATGAGTCAGATGATCTCAGGCGCCTTCCCGCTCCAAGGACTGTAAAGCAGGGGCAGAGTCCTGTGCATCCTGGTTTCACCTCTGCTCCACCACTGTTCTGCAGACAAGCAGCGGGGTGGGGAGTGGCCCCTTGTCCTCAGCAGGGACCTTTCTGAGTCCAGATCAGTTGCCAGGACCACGGAGTCAGGACTCAGGGCCAGGCTTGGGGATGTACAATCGGGGTGACAGGACCTAAGGCAGTGGGGACATCAGTGGAAAGGAGGTAAAGTTCACACCAAGACTAAACTAAGCTGACCCCAGCCAAAAATGAACACAAACCCAATACCCTCAAATAACAGGAACTTCAAGGTGGAGCCAACCCTGACAGCTTTCCCAGCACTGGGAGTCAAAAACACATCTGAGCCAAGAAATCTCTTCAGCAAGATGATTCAGCTCCTGTGCCTCAGTGTCCCCACTTTGTGCAATAACAGTATTTGTCATGGACAGTGGCCATGAGAGTGAAATGAATTGCCACATGGAAAGGCCTTAAAATCTTGCCTGGCAAATGCTACTCAACGCAGTAGCTATTAAGAAATGGTCTGTGCTGGATGGAAAACACAAGTTAACTCAAGTCCTGTCCCCTGGAGCATTCTAGATTGAATATTTATGACATGCCTGCCTCCAAACTTGGCCATGGAAATAAAATAAGACTCCCAGGCTTGGTCCAAAAAGCTCAGTAGCCACAGGGAAAGTGGACACATGAATAGGAGATAGGTAGGGATCCTAAATCAGCCTGCAGGCCCAAGCAGCGTCACACATTGGAGCATAAGCCAAAGGTGATGCCTGCCGAGCTGTGAGAGGGGCTGCTCAAAGGGCCTTGTTGAGGAGTTGGCACTGTCACTTGCAGGTGGCAGAGAATGGCTTGAACATTTTACACCGCGGGTGGGACATGGCTGGATTTTCATTTCTTTTTTTTTTCAAGATGTATTTATTTATTTGAAAGGCAGAATTAGAGAGGCGGAGGCAGAGAGAGAGAGAGAGAGAGAGAGAGAGAGAGAGAGAGAGAGAAGTCTTCCATCTGCTGGTTCACTCTCCAGATAGCTGCAATGGCCGGAGCTAGGCTGAAGCAAAGCCAGGAGCCAGGAGCTTTCCAGGTCTCCCATGTGGATGCAGGGGCCCAAGGACTTGGGCCATCTTCTACTGCTTTCCCAGGCCATAGCAGAGAGCTGGATCGGAAGTGGAGCAGCTGGGACTCGAACCGGTGCCCATATGGGATGCCGGCACTGCAGGCGGCAGATTTACCCACAATGCCACAGCGCCAGCCCCCAGATTTTCATGTCTTACAGATGTTCTGGCACCTCTGTAGAGCATAAACTGGAGAAGAAAGGAGGCGGAAAGAGCGACTGCCATGGGGGCCTAGGAGAGAGAGAACGCAGGTGGATCGGCCAGCGTGGAAAAACAGGCAGATGCAGGGAAGCGAGAAGGAGTGACACACCGGTCCTGACTCACGGTGGTGGGGCAGGGAGGGGCAGGTCTGGATTAGGAGGGCAGGCTCAGTAGCCACAGAGAGCCCCTCTGAGGCAGTGCTCAGAAGGTTTCAATACACACATCACCCCTATACCTCGTCTCCCAGGACAAGGCCAGTAGATTGCTGCCTAGAGACATCAAGAATTTGAGCATGCAGCCAGTGCTGTGGCATAGTAGGCTAAGCCTCTAACCTGCAACGCCAGCATCCCATATGTGCACCGGTTCAAGTCCCAGCTGCTCGTCTTCAGATGCAGCTCTCTGTTAATGTGCCTGGGAAAGCAGCAGAAGGTGGCCCAAGTCCCTGGGCCCCTGCACCCACATGGGAGACCTGGAAGAAGCTCCTGGCTCCTGGCTTCAGATCAGCTCAGCTCTGGCCATTGCTGCCATTTGGGGAATGAACCAGTTGATGGAAGACCTTTCTCTCTGTCTCTCCCTCTCTCTGTCTGTAACCTACCTCTCAAATAAATAAATATTATAAAAACAAAAACGAATTTGAGCAAGAGGTGAGGGTGAAGTGGAAATAGACTGTGAGGTCTGGAATGTGCTAGAATTGAGGAGAACCTTGACATTGTACAGGGAGCCAGTGTGTCTCAGAGGCCACAGCTGGAAAAGTGGGCAAGAACCTCTGTATGCCTCCCTGTGGAATCAGCTGCAGAGTCCTTCAAAAGCTGGGTAAAACCTTTGTCTAGCCTCCCTCACCTCCACCTTCCCAGCCTCCCAGGACCACTCTATGAAATCTACTTTTTGAGCTTCCACATGGGCCACAGTTGTCTTTTTATGCCTGGATTATTTCATGTAGCGTAAGGTCCTCCTGTTCTATCCATGTGGCCACAGGAGCCCATTTATTTGCACTAATATTATGTGCCAATTTTGCAAATTTTAAATTTAAAAGTTTTGAAGTTGAAAAGTCCACAGGATTGCCCCCAAGAAAAATGTTCCAACAGAAACAGCTTTTTTTTTTCTTTTTTGCATACAAAGGGAGCTCTTGCCAGGCCCCTGGTAGCTGAGGATGGGGGTTGGGGGGGTGTCTGCTATTGATGGGAAATGACCAGTGGAGGTCCCCCCAGGGTGACCCAGCCCTGTTACCTTCATGAATGCCTTTTCCTGTACAAGTGTTCCCACTTCTCAGGAGGGAGTCACCATCTTCAGTGGGCACATCCACCTGCGAGGGAAGCACACAGCGGGGAAGTTTGAATGAAGAGACCAAAGACACAACGACCCCCAGGACCTCGTGAGGGGTCACCGAGGTTGTATATGCTCACAAAAATGAATCAATGGATTCAAAACCCTGGGCCTCAGGACACAGCAGGTTCTAAACATCACGACACAGAAGGAAGACATCCACAAGGTGTCTCTGATGAAACCTGTGCCCTAGGTTTCTCATGCTGGGGACAGGGACCCAACTACCTGAGCCATCACCATTGCCTCCCAGCGTCTGCATTAGCAGGAAGCTCGAGTCAGGAACTGGAGGTAGGACTTGAACCCAGGTACTCCAACATGGAGTTTTCCCAGGCAGATTAGCAGAGAACTGAATTGGAAGTGAAGCAGCTGGGACTCGAACCGGGCCAGTATGGGATGCCAGCATTGCAGGCAGCAGCTTTACCCGCTACCCCACAGCATCACTGGATGGGTGGCAGGAACTCAGTTCCTTGAGCCATCACTGCTGCTTCCCAGGGTATCCATTGGCAGGGAACGAGAGTCAGGGGCTGGAGCCAGGGACCAAACCCAGGCACCCCAGATGTGGAATGTGGCAATTTGCAGAGGGTCTTATCCTCTAGCCGAAATGCGCTCTCCACTGCAGGGGGTTTAATCCACCTGCTACTCCAGTGTGGCACTTGGGCATGTTAACTGCTAGGTCAAACACCCACCCTGATCAAGCACTTTTTGGAACAGGCTCACAGGTTCTCTGAGTCCCTAGTCTTCTTTATACCAACCAGACTAATGTACCTGTACCCCAAAGGACATAATATAAAATAACTTCAAAAACATTTGATGGGGCCAGCGCTGTGGCACAGCAGGTTAACGCCCTGGCCTGAAGGCCAGCATTACATAGCTCTCTGCTATGGCCTGGGAAAGCAATAGAAGATGGCCCAAGTCCTTGGGTCCCTGCACACACATGGGAGACCCAGAAGAAGCTCCTGGCTCCTGGCTTCAAATCAGCGCAGCTCCGGCCAATTGGGGAGTGAACCAGCAGATGGAAGACCTCTGTGTGTGTGTGTGTGTGTGTGTGTGTATGTGTGTGTGTGTAACTCTGACTTTCAAATAAATAAATAAATCTTTTTAAAAAAACATTTGATTACCCTCCTGTTATAGCCTATGGACATCCCACTGTTTCTTCACCTATAATTTTCTTTTGTTTTCCTTTTTTTTTTTTTTTTTTTTTTGCTCACCTGTAATTTTCTTTTACTGTTTTGGAGTCTAATTTCTGTTTTTCATGAATCACCGGGAAGCCTGAAAGGCCTAAGCATATGACCTTTAAATGCCCATCAGTAAAACACCCTAATTCCATGCTAAGCATTTTGCTTAAACACACCAAACTCCAGTCTCTTATTTACTTACCAAGCAGTACACAGCATGACACAAAGCTATCCAAGGCCTGGAGGCTCATCAACAAGAAGCAGATCATAGCACAAAATTGATACCATCCTGTTTATTAATAATTTTTCAATATTAATAAGCCTTGTGGGTTCTCGCCACATATTCAGAGAATTCTGAATACTGGCTCAAACAGACCAGACAATGTGTTAAGCTTTAAGGATTTTATTCAGTAAGAGAAATATGCAGGAGAGTGGGAGCTTTATTTAGGGGAGAAAGAGAAGTCTAGAAGCTAAGCTGGGTCCATACCAGGCAGAGAGCAGACCAGGAGCGAGACATGTACAGCAAGCATGGAAGGCAGACAGCGGGTGGCCCAAAGGCCACGTGCCCACGGGGCAACAGAAAAAAAGGGAGGGGCCCACCATGTTCCAGGCCTATTATTCACTCCCAAAGAGGAGTGATTACGTAGTCTGATTGGCAGGTGGGCATCCAGGTGGGGTCAGGTGGGAACATGAGATCACACAGGGTGGAGGCATGTGCTTCCAACTCACAAACCCAATCAATTTTAGCCTATCTGCCTGCCTACATCAAAATCGAAGCTTCCCAGATCCTCCTGGTACCAAAGGACAGTGCCCTCCCAACCCCTGTGAGGTGCCCAGAGTGACCGCAGCCAACAGCAGTTATGCAAAGGCCACCAGAGGGAAATGAATGGAAACGGGGAGAAAGCAAAGGATGGGGAAGAGGGATGAACCCGTCCAGAAGGCCCCAGAAGCCTCCTGCAGAGAAGCCGACTCCCTCCACCCTCCGACTTCCACACTGCCCTCTTTTCCTCTTTGGCCCAGAAACTTCTTGCAGGATTTCTGAACTCACTGTCACCCATTGCTAAACCACACCACGGTCAGCCTTCTGTGCTGACTGCTTCTCTGAACAGCACTGCCCAAGCCCCCAGTCCCTCCTCGGTTCAATCTCTGTTGAACTGGACATTTCCACGCACCTGGCCCACCCCATCCCTTCCCTCCTGGCCCCCTAGGGTGAAGGCCAGCCCCACCCTACTCCCCTGCTGCCACCTCTTAACCTGCCCCTCTTCCTCCTCGCCCCTGTAGCACCATGCCATTCTGTCTCCCAGCGCCTCTGTTCAGTTCTCCCAGTGCTAGTCTGATGGTGTTCATCAAAGGCAGCTGGGACTTCTGATGGCTCAAGGAACTGAGTTCCTGACACCCATCCAGTGGTGCTGTGGGGTAGTGGGTAAAGTCACTGCCTGCAATGCTGGCATCTCATACTGGCCCTGGTTCGAGTCCCAGCTGCTTCATTCCTGATTCAGTTCTCTGCTAATCTGCCTGGGAAAACAGCTGAGGATGGCCCAAATGCTTGGGCCCCTGCACTGAGCTCCGGCTACTGCAGCCATTAGAGGAGTGAACCAGCAGATGGAAGATCTCTCTCTCTCTTTTTCTCTCTCTCTCTCTCTCTAATTCGGCCTTTCAAATAAGCAAATAAATATTTCTTAAAAAAAATAAATGAATACATAATGTCCCCCTATTCAGAGGCAATTTAGTAAGATCCATTGTGATTTTTAAAAATGATTTATACAGATTGACCATCTCTAATCTGAAAACCCCAAATTCCACATGCTCAGAAATCTGACTCGTTTTGCGTAGCATGTTGATACTCAGTAAGTTTGTGCTCTTAGAGCATTTTGGATTTCAGATTTTTAGACTCAAGATGCTCAACTTGGCAGAGTGCGTCAATAATTCACAATGTGAGAAACTCCAAGAATCGGAAACACTTCTGCTCCTGTGCATCTCAGATAAGAGATACTGAACCTGCAGTAAAACCCAACATACACACCTTTAGAAAATCCTCTTAACAATAAAGGTCCCCGATCTATTCTGCTGGGTTGCATTGCAGATTGAGTTTTCCACCTAAAATAAAGTGGTGACTGAAGAGAAAAGGAATAATTCACCCAATAAATTAATAAGCTGCAACATGATGCTGCCAGACCTAGCTCAGGTGCAATAGCGCCTACATTACTTATGAAATGTGTTGGAGAGATCAACAGTCTCTTCCTCACAGCTTCTAGCCCAGGCAGGAGCACCCAGTACCCCTGGGGCAATCGGCAGGGCTTCAGACCACCAGGAGCCTGCGGTTGGCCCCTCCCACCACCTTGTCCATCTATCGCAGTGCATCACAGCTTTATCGGATCATCCCATGAAAAAGCTAGCGATTGTGAAGGCCTTCCCAAGTACATTTCCTACGGCTTTCTGGTGGTCATAACGTATTTAGAAATATCAGTGCTAACTACACACACCCAGAACACACATACAAAGCTGCTTGGTTACAGAAGCGGAGAGGAAAATGCACATTCAAGGCATAAGGCGATTTCCTACCAGGCCTAGCATGAGAAACTTTAGCATGCTGTGAGCTCAATTCCCAAGGTAGGAATTAAGCACAAGGATGGACAATGAACATAGTGGCCCTCGGCAAAATCCCCACTTCCCGCCAAGGCTGACCTCATCAAAAACCAGTGCAGTGCAGGCACAGGAGAAGTGACAGCTGGGAACAGAGAGGCCATCACCAGACCCCAAGTATCTTCCTCAACATCCAGGGCCTAGTGCAAGGGGCTGAGGCATTTCTCCTGCTTTGCGGCCTCACTGATCTACGAAGCACGAAGCACCTTGGTCTCGAGAAACTGCCCACAGCTCTGAGCAATTCCTCTGCATTGGGAAGTCTGCCTTCCAGCCTAGAAACCAGACACAGGCCAAGGGGCACACATCAGGTGCACCCAGAAAACGTCAGAGCATTTGTTGGACACTGTGCTGTGTGGGTGTACTCTCGGCAGTGTGGCAGGAAGCTTGTCCTCACACCCAGTGCACAGTGTCACAGCACAGGCTGTACTGTCACCACACAGGGACCAGCTTAGCCTCCTAACCTCTCTCTCCAGCTTTCCATCATCCTTCCCATATTGGGGAGAGGGGGGCGTGCTGGGTGTCTGCTGGCCAACACCCCAGTCCTCACCTCCACACACGGCCTCCTCCATACATCCCTGGCCACTGCAAGCCCGACAGACACACTGGCAGCAGAGGGCATGGGGACAACCCAGAAAAGGAGTCTGCATAGCCTGCATCTCCCAGGCTGTGTGGAGACAGAATTCAAGGGGCCCTGGGTACCTGATGCACGGTCAGCAAGAGGGCTATGCTGGGCACAGGTTCCCTCTTGGCCATATAGATTCTACACCATTTTGAGGATGTGGTTGGCTGAGCTGCAGAGCAGAGCCCTCCGACACCCAGGACCTGTGCCTAAGGGAAGTTCCACAGCAGCCATACCTCAGAACTCAAGAAGAGAGAGGAGGAGCCGCAGTAGGAGACTCGTCCTCCTTCCAGAGACCTGTAGTGGCCAAGCCCCCAATATGAAATCTACAAGCCATTTATAAGTCATTCTTCATCTATTTGCTGTGACTATAGAAGAATCCCTGAGACTTGGTAACTTACAATGAGCAGACATTTGTGTGGCTCCTGATTCTGGGGCCAGGGACATCCAAGACCACGGGGCCGACATCCAGCAAAGGCCTCTGTTCTGTGTCACCCCATGGCAGAAGGTGGAAAGGTCTTGGGGCCAGCACTGTAGCATAGC